ACAATATGCTTGATTTGGGTTTTTTTCTTTTTCTAGGCATTTCAACATAAACATGTGATTGATTATGGCCTTTGCTTTAATTCCAGTTGTAAATTTGGTGCATCTTTTTATATCTTTACCAAGAATTCTTTTTAATTATTCTTTTGAGACACTACTTTATATATATTATGAATATATTATTCTTGGTACAACTTGTAAGTCTCCGAATTTATTATTCAAAATAATAAATTCAAATCCTATTACTTGTTTTGCACGTAAACCTTAAGCCATTTTCATAAGTTCATTTGATCAGCTAAGAAAATTCTTTGGAATACACAATATTATTTGTGCCTGGTCTATTCATTTTTAAATGATTTTTGAAACACAACTTGAAAAGAATAATGTTAAAAGCAAATGTAATTAGTAATCTTCAATATAAGATTTTCTATTAAAGGAAAATAAAAATGAGTGTGAAGACCGAAAGAAAGCCTTACAATATAAATAATTGAATATCGTGTTTGTGTTCTATTCTGTACTATAATACTAAGTCACTTTCATAAATATTACGCATAAAATATGAACTATAAATTAAAATATAATATAAATAATCATTGTTTTATAATTATTTATATTATCTTTTCAATATTTGTTTGTATCACTAATTACACGTCATTTAAATGATACAATTAGAAAAATTCTTTGTTTGAAAGGAAATAATAATGAGCTGAAAGAAAAGTTTTACAGTATAAATAATTAAATGGTGCATTTGTATTCTGTACTATAATACTAAGTCACTTTCGTGAATTAATAATCTATGCATATTTATCGGTTTATAATAATCTGTTCAATATTCGGTTTGTATCACTAATTACGCATCATTTAAATGACATAACTAGGAAAATTCTTTGTTTGAAATGGAAATAATAATGAGCTGAAAGAAAAGCCTTATAGTATAAATAATTAAATAGCAAGTTCGCGTTCTGTATTAGTGTTTCAAGATACTGAGTGGGTGAAAACCAAGAAGTCCAAAAATAGATTTTTATAATATTTTTTTATGTTTTATTGCAAATAACTTGCGATAATACTAAGTCACTTTGTGAATAATATTTATTTTTAAATAAATACTGAAACAAGTACAACCTGACAAGAACAAAATTAGTATCTAACACATCACTTATGAAGTTATTATTTGTTTGACCGAGTTATGAAAAATACTAAAAAGAAAGCAAAGGTAATGCGATTAGTAATCCCTGACTTAAGATAATGAGGTTCAATATAGATATTCTATGAAAGGAAAATAAAATTATGCATGAAGACCAAAAGAAAAGTCTTTTGCACAAAGATGAACATGAATGTTAATTGGAAACATAAACATCAAATGTTTCACCACGGAGTTATGAAACCTGAAGAAAATATAAAAACACCATCATTCCTTCACTCTTCTTTTAATCAAACACAAATTTACACTCAAGAATAAATCATTATCAAATAAACAATTTTAATATCAAATAAAATAGAAGTTCAACAAAAAAAAATCTGTACAGAACACTTCTTCATACCTTGAACTCTAACAATAATAATGAAACTGAAAAGAGAGAAAAATAATGAATCGCATCGAAACTATTGCAAATGAAAATAAAACAAAATTTAAGCAATTGGAAGAAAGGTTTAACAAATATAGATTGAAGAATGATATCTTTGTTAAAAATAATATTGATTATAATTTAATTGAACTGGAAAATCAAATCTCAAATTTATTTTATTCCGAAGAAGGTGAAAGCGAAGTGAAAAAAAAGAACGCAATGAAATTTATCTTAAAGGTTTTGGGTAATGATAAGTATTCGGATCAAGCAAAGGCCATAATCAATCACATGTTTATGTTGAAATGCCTAGAAAAAGAAAAAAACCCAAATCAAGCATATTGT